GGTGGTGGTGGTGGTGGTGGTGGTGGTGGTGGTGGTGGTGGTGGTGGTGGTGGTGGTGGCGGAAACAGTTGATCCATCAGATTTGGCATGAATTCTTCCAAGTGAGCATACGTTTCGGACCACAAAAGAGCCTCTTTGGAACCCTCTGGTGCGTCGCGCACCAAAATTGGTGCTGTATCCTGTGTGCCGGTGTAGAGAACCAGCAGAAGGTTCTTCAACGACTCGCGAACAGCGTCGTTCTAAGCATAGAAAGACAGAAAAAGAGCACGAATAATTGAAGTGGTCAATTATCTAGTGACATACTTAATTTAAGTGGGTAACGAAAGACGCACTATGGAATCAGAGATATTGGCCTTTATATATTTCTCCATGTAGGTCAGCATGCGTCGCCATAGTTGAGGAAAGGCTTCCAGTGCATAAAGGGGGCTGAGGTGCTGGAGGAAGACCTTTGTTAATAATGGGATGGCGCGCATTCTAGGGTCCATGTATTCGGCAAGTGCTCCCGGTACCGTAGGGACTGTTGGAGCCGCTTCGACACCACTGTTGCTGCTGCTGGCACCACCAAAGATGTTGGAAAAGAAGCCAACGGTTGAGAGGTTACCCTGACTTCCAGACTCACGACTAAATCTGTTGGCAGGGTTGGCACCAGTAGCATTGAAGATGGAAGTAGATGACACACCTCCTAGAGAGGTGTTCGTAAAGGTGGAGGAGTCGTTGAAAGTGACACTTTCAAGGAAATTGGTCAACAGGGGGAAGAGAACCTATCAGAGAGGAAAATCGTAAAAAGATCATTGAAAGCAGTGGAACTTTTTCACGCCAGTTCAAAACCCCAGTTGAACCCCATTTTCACAGTTTGGAAGCTCATGAAAGAAGTATTTGAGCCACTTAAAAGCCTATCATGTTACCCAGTACTTATTTAAGTAGATCCAATCACCTGAAGGAAGCAGTCGAGCCACTGAGGACCTGTCAATAGATGCAGGATAGGGGAGAGGAGGGCGCGTTGGAGGAACGCAAGGGCATCAGCACGAACTTCGCGTCTGGCATCCACACAGAGACGCGCGATGGCCTGCAACAATGCTCGCCAACAGGAGGGCCAGAGACAATCACTACTTACGTTCATCATGTCTCGCGATGAATTCACCTCCTCGCCATCTACCTCGGTGGGTTTTGTCCACTCCGCATAGATCGAGGGTGCGCGACTAAAGAGGGTGTAGACGAGATCGAGAAGCTGAAAGAAGAAATGGATTGTAACATTATCTACAAATGCAAGAATTAGAAATTTTCTCTTTGTGTCAGACGACGTTCACCTGTCTACTCGATTAGAAAGAAGGAGTGACAACCTCTTAACTTCAGCCAATAGTAGCAGAAAAAAGCGCTCTAAAATGTAGCCAATCTCACCTGAAGGGCGATTCCACTAGTGAACGGCTCTGGGGGTCGAGCCTCAGGAAAATCGAAGAGAGGCGGTGGGACACGCTCGTGCGCACCATTGGCCATCGTCTTGCGTATGATGGATGGCTTAGGTGGTGTCAAAACCGCCTCAATGAACACCCGCAGTGTGTGGACGCAGTACTGAAAAAAACGACCTAATTCATTCAGTGAAATGGGCTTAGAGACCTAAGATTTTGAAAACTGAGTGATCAAACGAATTTCGTTCAAGTACTCAAAAAAATTGAAGCTTTCCTGACCCTCAATCAAAGCACCAACCTCAATGTTGCTTGGGGTGATGTGAGCCGGATCGCGAACGACAAAAGCAATGGAATCACAGGCTTTTTCGAGAGCAAACCAGTCCTGGAAGACAATTACAATGGGTAACCGAAGCCGCGAGGAAGGAATAAGGTCTATTCCATCATCAATTTTTTCCTTCGTGTCCTCGTTGACAACCTCTCGCTCCTTTTCGGCATCTAGATGGAAGAATCGAGAAGAAGGAGGTTGGTAGATGTCGAAAACATGAAATATGATCAGTAAAGTTGCGATGAAAATATTGACAACCTGTTGCCTCTGGCCTATCCACAACATTGACGAGCACCCAGGACTCAACTACTGCCCCAGTAGGACTGGTTGGAGGGCGCTGACGTCGAAAGTCTTCCACTTTTACATCACAGCTCTCGTTGTCGCTGGCATAACTGCGTGAGTCCTCGACTCCAGTATCCACTGTCACGTTTTGAAGGCTGGAGTCTGTGAGTAGGAGGGATAATCTTAACGACAACAAAAAGAAGGAAAAAATGCATTAATTGGTAATTAAAGAACTCACACACATTTTCTCTCCTCATTCCTCTCGACTCTGCCTGATCCCGTCCATGTCGATTATCCCATGCTTGTCCCTCCAGCTCCTCCAGAGTAATTGGGAAGGCTCCTGCACCACACACCTCAAGCAGTCCAAGAATGAGTTGCCAGTCCTGTGACGAGGGCACCTCCACCGCCATCGCTCCGCCCTCCTCCGATAGTAGAGCGTCGACTGCCCACACCACTTGTCGTGCCACCGAACTGTTGCTGCTGCCATCATTCACCACTTTCGTTGATTCGGAAGATCGATAACGCTGGAGCAGACGACGACTACCAGAGGCAGCACTGGCGGCAGCAGCAGTGAGAGAAGTGGATCGGGAGGAAGAGGAAAGAGGGTGAAGGAGGTAGGCGCCACGTTCTTTAAGAATGGTGAGCAGACAAGCGAAAATCTACAGAAATTTAAGAGCAGGATGGACTGTGAGCGTGTATTCAACTGTAGTAATTTGACTGAGAAACGGAGTAAGCTAACACACTTGTGTTGCCAAGTCCTGTTGTCTACGCAACAACCGCAGAGCCAGTCGAAGCATTCCAGCCACCACGCATTCCGCCAGGGCAGTCGGTTCCCGAGAATTCCTCAGAATCTCCACCAAATCTCCCCGAACCATGAGCCAGAGTTGACCAATTCGATCCCTGTTGTAAAGGAGCACTTGTAACAGCAGTTCCAAGCAGAAGATCTGACTTTTTTCTCCCCCCACAGCCTCTGAAACAACGGATTCACAGACATCAGTACCTCTGCCACCATTTGTTAAGCCGTAGAGAAGAGCCTAAAGATGAAAGAAACAATTATAATGACCCTCGAATTAAGAGAAAGTAGAAAGGGCTTGTTGAACAGCAATGCACCTTTATAAGCTCTTGCAGCGACTCTAGCATAAGGAACTTAGATTCCTCGAAAAGGGCGTCAATTTGGCAGGCTTCTACAGTTGCCTTGGCGGCCTGAATAGCAACAAGGTCATCGTCGTGGACGGACGGAGGTAAGGTAAAAGAAGATGGAGCAGTTCCTGATATGGTGGATTCGTCCATAAGACGGAAGAGATCTGTAGCACTGGTGAAAGACCGAGGCTGTGATGGGGTAGATGGCTCATCGAAGGGGTTTATCGGGGCGTCAGGTGTGTTAGGCGGAGATGAGGAAAGCGGTTCCAAGTTGGAGGAAGATCCAAGGGTCAGGTATTGGTAGAATGAGCCCAGCACACCGAGATCAGAACTGGATGAGAAGGGTGAAAGTAAAAATTTGTAGAGAAGCGAAGTCTGTTAGAAATACCCATTAGTATTGACCTACCGACTCTCAGTTTCGTTAAGATGCTCATTCGAGGCCACAGCGACTGCAGAACCGGAAGAGGAGCCGACAGGTACAAAGTGTGGCGAGCGCACCAGGCCGGGTGGAAGGAGGCAGGCATGCAGAAGACGCAGAAGACAGTCCAAAATGAGGGAACGCCAACCCTCCCTCAACATGTCCCCATGGGTCGCAGCCAATGCGAAGACCAGCCGAGTAGCCATCTGGGCCTTCGCACTTCGTCCCAGAGCCACTCCAACCGACTCCAAGGTCTATGTGTTTGCATTCAATGGTAACAGATTTGTTTTGTTAAAAATAAATGGAGAAATTAAATCCACAAACTGTAAAATAAAGACTAAGGTTCTAAGCACAGCTGGAATCTCACTTCAAGAGGACTGAGCAGTAGAGTGAATTTGCAGAGTGAAATAATGAGGTTGTCGAAGACTTGAGTCATGCGAAAGTGTGCTGCAATGCGTGCACATCTCACAAAACCTGCCATCGTTTTGGCCTGCAGTGCTGCATCGGTCGACTTGTCAAGGACGAAGGAGAGCGCAGCCACCGTTGACCCCCAGAGCATTGTAAAGAGGTCGGCATCAAAGCGGCCTGGTGGTAGGTGGACATAATGCTGAAAGGATGGCTGAGTACTGCGTCGAACCAGGCACTAGGAGAGAGGAAACTACCGATTAGTTGCCATAAGAAGAAAAGCTTCTAGTCTTGGAGGAGCAACTAAGTTTGATGGTTGCCATTTACCAAATACACAAACTTAACCATTGAAAACAAACATTCTCAGTCTTTGAGTAGTGTAATCCACTAGCACTCACCTTCCACAAGTAGTTATCTCTCACTGCACCCGTCTGTTCACTGGGCATTACGATCTCCCGTTCCCTAATGCTCTTGTAAACAGCTTCCATCAGCTCCGAATCAAACTCTCCACCTCCGTTCATGCCCTTTAAGTTGCGCTTAAAGTCTGCGCACGTCATTGGGACATTCTGTCTCCGGGAGTTGGGATTGTGCTGATCGGTGTTGAGCATTAGTAACGCATAGGCCAATGTGAAAGCTGCGTCCACGTTGGCGAAGGGTGAGTCGTTAGCCTCGTACCATTGCTCGGCAAATGACTCCATGAGGTGTTGAATCAGTGGAGCTTCACCAGGAATTCGAAAGGCCTCAAGGTAGGCACGAAGAGCCACGTCTATCCGTGTGCCTCGGAAATTAAAGTGCCTTTAACATAGGAAAGAAAAACCGGCGCAGTCACGCGAATTCAAGCAGGTAGAAGTCATCTACTTTAAAAAGCGTGCCGATTCTACAGACCAGGCAAGACAGAGTTATTCCCACCTACCGAACAAATGCCACCAAAGTGTCAGTATTTCTGCGATCGGCCAGATATTCGCCAATCATCTTCTTATCCAACCTCGGATTCTCGGCCAAAAAACTAGCTACTTCCACAGGATCCAGCGGATCAAGAAGAAGGCCATTATTCTGCAGAAAATTGATCCCATCTTTTTGCTTCACGTTAAATCGATCTGAACCACTCATCAGTAGCTAAAAAATTAACAAAGTTCGTCTGTCTATGCCATTAAGTGAGACTTCTGAAATGGCGAAAAAATATGATCAAAGAGTACAACAACCTTTTTACGGTTCTTTTGCTCTACAAGATTCTCATGAGTTGGTATAACTGATGAGGGAATCCAATGCCGATTCGGCCGCGAAATTGGACGCATTGAATCAATCTGTCGTGTATCCACCTAGAGAGGAAATAATTCAATGAATGAGACGAGAAGCGTCGATGAACTCAATATCATAGTTACTTCAGGGATACTTTGGAAACAACAGTGCCTCTTAACAAACTACGTCTATTTTAATTCCGTTTTCTGAATACCAAGCAAAAAAGATTCAGGCCCGAGCGACTTGACAACAACCACTAAGGGACAAATAAGCTCTTTGCGCAAGCAATTAGAATCCTTTCCACTCCTCTAGCGGTTGATGACTGGACAGCTGCTAGATTAGAACAGATCGCAAAAAAGGAGAGAATTTACAAGGAATAAGGAAAATATACTACTCACCTTTTCGGTGACCTCTTCAGCATCATTTTCACCAGTCTGGATGTCAATGGCATCAACCACGGCGAGGAGAGCATCCAAAGCGATGAGGTTTGTGCCTACGAGTCGGTTGGCAGGATAAGCGTTTTTTGTAAGCATCTCCGTGATATCCTCGAAGAGATTTGAGCAATATGGATCGCAGTCGTAGTTCACATAGACCTCTGCTGCCAATCCAGGGAGGAGGAAGAGTTGAACTGCGGCGTCAAGTGCGATTTCACGAAACTCATAGGTGATACGCTCGTTATCAGAGGAGATGAGGGCAATGAGACGTTGAAAGTATACCTGCGGAACATAGTACTTTAATTCATTTCAGTAGATGGAGTTTCTACAATCGAAGTAGAAATCGAAACGGATAAGAACAGAAGAGTCCCGTCGTAATTTGAAGTAAATAGGAAACTCCTTTTCAATGGTTTTGTGATGCCTCAAAGTGACACCAACGATTGGATGCAAATTTGGTTGTTAGGGCGAATGAGAAAAAGGTGAATAAAGTATCATAACAGTGAATCTCTTAGAAAAAAACCTAGGCTCATTAAGTGTTCAGAAAGACACCTCTAAAAAAGTTCGAATTTTCAAACTCACTTCTAGAGCTCTGTTTGGGAATAAGCCCATCAAAAGCAACCGACAACTACTCAGCATCATTTAATGATAAATTTAACTTCACAAAAGACCAAAACAACGAACTGGAGGGTTCCAAAGAGTTTTAAGTCATCAAGAAGGCCGTAGATCCTCTTTAAAAAATAACGTCACAGATATTCAGCAACACGGATAGTTGTGCCTTCCCAACATACTAGAACTAACTGTTGGCCCGTCTTCTGGGGAGTTGAATCAGGATTTCTAACTGACCTCAAGCTGCAATTTCAGATGCATTCGCAGAGCCTCAAAGAGTAGAAATGCAAGACGCAGAGTTGCGGTAAAAACAGGGATGCGTTCGCGATAAAGCAGCATCATGAGGTACTTTGTCATGTCAGTAGCTATTAGTCGGAGAATAGAAGGACAGGCGTGCAGAAAATCCGCCCCCGTCTCCATTGCCACGGTGAGGAGATTGAGGGAGACCTTAATCACTCCCTCTTGGTGTTCCTCGGGGTTGAGAAGGTTCACCAGAAGAGCAAAGAGGTTGTGCACCGCTTGGAGGTTGTAGGGACGACAGGTGTGCTCGTCAGCGATGTCTACATCTGTAGAGAATGCAGCAACACAAGAAGTGGTTCGGCAGTTCAAGAAATAGTGAGATATTGTAGCAAGAGGAGTGACCAGTGTCATTCCAGCATTTAACTCCCCAAAGGGAAAGAAGTTATTAGAAATTGAGAAGTGTGTCACTATCAAGGGAATAAGCCTGTAGCAGTGATTTCTCCCAGTCATAGGCACTTCCAACTCACCTTCAACTTCAGATAGATGCTCTCCTGCCTCCTGACCGATTTCCAAGCTGAAAGGGATGGGTGACTGCGATGACGGTGAAGGCAACGGTTGAGCTTCAGTTGACGTCACTGCTGCGGGTGTTGGTGTTGGTGTCGGTGTCTGCTGGTCCGCAACCAAGTGGTCACCCAAACTGCAAATGCTCTCGTCTCGTGGTAGGTGATCATCTGCCAAGGGGTCTGAATTTTAAAAAAGGCATTAAAAAGTCCCAAAAAGCAGATGTTTATCATGGATGACCAAAAGTGGTGCAATAACAAAGCTAGAGATTATGCAAAGATTAAGAGGGTGAAAACGCTTCGTTCGATATGTTAAACAGCTGAAATGGATCCAGATCGATCAATGTCGTGATAAAGGAGGGCAGAAGGATGGGGAAGAGGAAGCTGAAATAAAATCGAACACAATTCGAGGCTTTAAAAGGAGGCCTAGATCCAGAGGGCTGTTTTAACACCTACCAAAGGAGCAAAAGGTATAGGATGAAGCTACATCAATCTGTGATAACCATTACAACGTGTCACATCTACTACATCACCAGTCTCATGGTAAACGATGCAAAAAGCGTCGAGCACTTTTGAGAAGATTCTCGAAACGAGATAGGCAGGAAAAGGATTTCCTTTTCCACCTAGATGAGAGACGCTAACAAGAACGGGTGGTAGTCAAAAAATGGGAACGATTTCCGAGATAGGAGGCTTTTTATTGAGGTAATCAAACATTTGGTCGAAAAGTTAACATATGGCCTGCCTTTTCTCTCCTTCCTGAACTCCACTGCAATTTCTCTGCTCCCTGGGGATGTTTTCCACTTCGATGCGATTTTCTTTAGTCCATTAAAAGTGGTCTAATGACGTGAGGCTGGTTGAAGGTATACTGACAAAAAGAGACGTTAGCAGACTTTGCCTAGCCTTCTGCGTCAAATTGAAAACGAACTCGATCCTAGAAGTGTCCAGAAATTTGGATAGCATGCACAGCAGCAAATCCCAACGCCCACGAACCCACCTACTGCCTTACTTTTGCCTGAAACAGAGTCAATGGCAGCTGTGCCATTTTTCACCGTCCATGTCATCCTAAAATGCGCCCTCCGCGTAGTTATGTACAAGCAGAGCTATTAAGTGAATACTTTCTTCTGAGGGCGATCAAACAACTGGAGGGCAGCCTCACTTTTTCCATTCGACATAAAATCAAATTAAGTGACGCTAATGATGAAATCTTTGTCTTAAGACAAGGCGAAACAGATGCACTGCTATGGGATAAAAGCAACTGCTGATTTGGTTCACCAAAATTAAATAAGTAAATAACTCGCAACTCTAGAATGTGTCTTCCATGATTTCCCAGGGGAAAAAGTAGTTTTCTCATTTAGGAAAAAGTTGAAAATCCTCATACAACAACAGTTGCCTCTGGGATTCATCTCCGGCACAAACGCTGGAAGGTTGAACTGGGAGTCGTCACCTTTTGAAAGCAAAAATCCTTCCGCCTATTACAGATCATTGTCACATGTGTAAATAGTTGATTGATCAGCATTCTTCTATCAAAGACAAAAGTTAATATCAGAAGGAGGCACAACGTCATCGTTGAGTGGCTCCTCCTCCAGTGAACCAATGAAATCTGGATTTACGAGGTAACTGATCGCTACAGGTCCTCACAAAACAAACACTTAAGCCAATTGGAGCATCTTAAATCAAAAAGTCCTTACGTGAATTAATGATGCTAAAATTAAGGTGGACAGGGCGAAACAGCTGTGTCGCGTTGGCAAGCGATCCTACCACTACTATTTATAGACAAAGGGAGGAAAACAAGATGCCCATTAACCTCAGTCCACAATTCTGCAGATACGATAAACCCGTGGTTAAGGTCGGCTCTGTCACCTTAATCGGTGGAGTGATCCATTCCGGAAACAAACCGAAGTCTGTAGATTCTGCCATCAAACAGGACCACATCTCTGCAATTCTAACCAACTATACTTTTATCTTGCTTTCATACTGTAAAAGTTCCCATGCTCATCCAATGGCAAGGATAATGACGTTGACTTAGCACAACAACCTCACCAAGGAAATACGGAGACTGCAAGGATGAAAGATCCGCAACAGCAAGTTGGTGCGTCTTTAGTGACCGAAATTAATGGAGCTGCACAAATTTCCACACCTTCGAAATGAAGAAAGTGCTTTTCTCTGAAACCACATGCCCATTGCAACCAGTTTGTCATCCTGTGACAACGAGGCACAGGTCTATTGTGGGGTTGCTAGGGCAGCCTTTTCACGCCTCAATCTGCACTCCTCTTGGTGTGTCATCGCTCTGTGCTGCCCCAAACGGTGCCTCCATTCTGGAGGACTGCATCCACCACAGTTAAGCTGTAGACTCGAGACAACACCTCTGGACTGTTGTATATCGCATCTTTGGCAAGTGACTCGACGAAGGGGTAGTTTATGCGCTGACACGGAAAAAGGTTGAGTTGAAGTGACTCTATGAAACAGACAAATTTAGATGAAGTGCCTCAGGTTGACCAGTACATAGCATTCAGCTCTCTTTCGCCTTTTAGACATTATGGTTGTCTGGAAGGTGTCAAGACCACGGACTCATCCATAGAGCCAACAATCTTTCAGAATTTCGACCGACTTTAGCTTGATGTATCTTGCAAATCCTGTTCCTGCTCATTAGTGTGAACGATGACTGTGCTTTCAACCCCTGTAAGCAGCATCGCCTCATCTGGAACACGCTTTGAACTTCAAAATTGCTTATCAAGAAAAGATTGTGTTAATTCTTCTCCATGTTTGTTGACGGAGCTTGCATGGCTCATTACTCACTCACTGAACTATTCAAGGTGGTTCTGCTGTCGTTTTAAATAAACGGCAGTCTACCTCCGTTTTATTCTCTGCATCAAACAAATCACTATGACATGTTCAAAATCGAGTGCCGCATATGAGACATGCGAATTCAGCCAGATGGCGATGATAGTCCGAAGAGTCAAAATTAAAGATCAATTTGTGAGTTTTGAAATGAACGGACACACCTCGTCCATTTTACGTCAACAAAATCCTCGCAGATAATTTCAAATTCTGCTCTTCAACTCTGTGGAGTACGAGATTACAGAAACTAGCATAACTAGAGGTGCTTTACGGCATTATTAGTGTCCCACGGCTTAGTAATGGCTACTGAGACCGTCAGTTTTTTAAATGTGTTTTTAGAGTACTGCTAAAGAGATCATGTTTGATTAGGCAAGATGAATGTAGATGCGGTTCTTCAAGCGATTGATTTATTGTTAGGATGAGGATGGCGCCGCTAAACTGTTGGCGATGATAGTGAAACGCTTAGTGGAAGGGTATTGTCCATTGCTAAATGTGCCCTCCGTGTATTTGCATGGGATTTTGTGCTTGAATGCCCTTGGCTATAGACACGAGAGCAACTCTGCGTGGCGGAGGTGAGAAGCTATACTTGCACACACTGCATTGTCCACATCCCTCTTGCCATGAGCAGGAGCACTGGTTAACACTTTATAGAAATGAAACCTCCTCTACCGACATGCACACCCCATTACTGACTGATCAGTGCTACCCGTAAATGGATACGCGTCACACTTGCCACAGTCTTGCCTTGACTTAGATTTTCCGCATGGACGTGATTAAATACCAGGAAAAAATATCAAAACATGGCTTCCAATTAGCAAATATTCTCCAATAAATAACGCATTCCTTGCTGTTTTGTAAGGTGTGGAGTCTGTTTGATGACAAAAACACTTTTCACTATTACCTTTGTTTACGTTATACAGAGGTCATTTTCGAATTAGTTCTCTGTCTAATCTTGTGGTGATTGATGCAATCTATCAATTATGGTTGTGATAACTGCATCTGTCGAGGCCCCTCCTTCACTGTTCAAGTCAACGTTTCGATTCCGAACTTCTTCATGGTTTATAGTCGAAATTATCATTGATATATTGATAATATTATGTGCTCAAATTTGGAGACGCTTCGTTTTACTGTGTAGAATAACTCTATTCAAGCATTGTAAACGAGTTCTTTTAGGAGATTGAAAAAAACAACAAGATCAACAACGGACCAAAGAAATGGTGAAATTAGATTGAACTGGCGGGAGCTCACGAACCGCGTAATGTCGCCTCTATCGGTATAGCGCCAGACGGTTAGTACAAGGTGATATCTGCTGTTCACTTTCCAACTCTCAATCCGCTCTCTCTCCGTTGGATATCAATCGGGTTGACCTACCTGAGACATTTCATCTAAACTTGTCTGTTCCATAGAGTCACTTCAACTCAACCTTTTTCCGTGTCAGCGCATAAACTACCCCTTCGTCGAGTCACTTGCCAAAGATGCGATATACAACAGTCCAGAGGTGTTGTCTCGAGTCTACAGCTTAACTGTGGTGGATGCAGTCCTCCAGAATGGAGGCACTGTTTGGGGCAGCACAGAGCGATGAGTCGGTGCACTTCTGACACACCAAGAGGAGCGCAGATTGAGGCGTGAAAAGGCTGTCCTATCAACCCCACAATAGACCTATGCCTCGTTGTCATAGGATGACAAACTGGTTGCAATGGGCATGTGGTTTCAGAGAAAAGCACTTTCTTCATTTCGAAGGTGTGGAAATTTGTGCAGCTCCATTAATTTCGGTCACTAAAGACGCACCAACTTGCTGTTGCGGATCTTTCATCCTTGCAGTCTCCGTATTTCCTTGGTGAGGTTGTTGTGCTAAGTCAACGTCATTGTCCTTGCCATTGGATAAGCACAGGGGAAATGACGTCGACGGTTGGGTAATAAAATCGTTGGAATGAACAGACTAACCACCACATACCAACAGAACTTGTACACGCGGGTTGTAATGGAAGAGAACTATTCCACCGAATCGAGTACTCAAAGGCATCTTGGGCATCACAAATGCCTCCCAAACTTAGCCTTCCTACGTAAGTACGCTCAATGTAATGTAGATGTGACTCACCTTGGGGCAAATAACCCCCAAAACCCCTAAAGACAGAATGGAAAGGGAAAATAAAATAGAATTCTTGTAGTAGACAAAAGTGACATTTGATTTTAGTATAACTAGCTTACCATTGAGGAGGGAGTTCCTAATAAAATTATCAAATACAATGAACCTTAATTTTAAGTGATTAAAAATTCTAATGTATCTTAACATTACAATTTTGCAAAGCCAAATTAGGACATCAAAATTCTAAATTACGCACAAAGATTCCAAAAGTGTTGAATTCTCCAAGCCACTAGTTATGACATGAATTCGTCGGTAGCAATTGGTGAAACAGTAGTGTCTGTGACAGGCGCATCTTAGAGTAAGTCGAGATGGATGTCGCACGGTACCAAGATATTGAAAGCATTCAGCATAAGCTTTTCAACAAATTGATAAAAAATCAGTAGATGCGACACTTTTTGGAGGGGAAGAATTAGAAAAGTTGCTACGATGCTATCATACTCATGATACTACCAGTACTCAAAACTGTGCAGGAGGGTACAAAAACTCCAGGTAGAAACCTGACGACCACATACCTTGACTTTTCCATTTCGCAAATGCCATTTGAGTCACCACAATATGGACACAATGTGGCAAGCAGTTTGAATCCTTTGGATAAAATTACAAACTAATCCAACTTTCCGGATTTACAGGACGATTAATCTACGTATTTTAGTTCTTTGAAATACAACGCTAACGAAAAAATGCTGAAAAACCAAAGTTCAAAGGGCAAATTTATGGTTCATCTCCGAAATGAAACGCAATGAAATGAGTGAATAAAAATCCAAAAGAAGGACTAGTTTTAAATCAAGCCACAAATTCACAAACACAATGACCATAAATCGTCGGCGGATATGACAATCTCCATAAAAAACACATACCCTCGGTTTTAACCTCTTGATTAATCTCCGGATTTTCGCCCATTAGCGACGTCTCGGTATGTATTGTTGGTCTTCGACTTCCTTTCCGTGAGGACCCCTCATCGCTTATGCGAAAAGTCTCTTCTTCATCAACCCCCAGCTGATGACTAGTTTCATCAGTCAGAAGAAGGGCAGGCAGACGAGAAAAGAACAACTGAACAATCGAAGCGAGAAACTGTTCCGCTGTGCGTCGAAGCAATTCCGACAACTGCGACTCCAAACAGATTCGAAGACAATTTTGAAGGATTTCACCAACCATCACGTTGGATAGAAGACATCCGGAAGGAATGAGAAGGAGGGTGCGAAGGAGATGAACAATTTTCATCAGTACAACCTCATCCGAACTTAAACGACTTCGAATGAAACGAGCTTGAATTACAGCCTCCGCAATCGTCTCTGCAGCAATGCCAATGACATTCTGTGAAGCATATAAGCTGTCTGAGCGAACTTCCAGAAGGCCATAAGCAAGAAACTTTTCCACGGATGTTAAAGCAAGACCAGTGATTAAACCGGTGGTCGCATCCGAACGAATGACGTCAAGGAAGGGAGTTAAGTAGGTTAGTGGGTTAAGAGAGTCCAGATCTTGACAAAGAAGCAATGAGCTAGAAGGAATTCTACAAATCAAGCCTACCTGGGGTGGCGTTCAACGTGCGACGGAGGGATATAAGGTTGTCAAGGAGAGCCCTCTTGGCATTGTCCTGATAGGAACGAGAGTTGGACCGATAACCACATTTTAGTGACGTTAGTAGCATTGACACCTCTGATTTCACCATACTAAGTGCATTTGGAGGTGCCATTTTTTTTGATCTGCAAAATATGCGGGTGTTTAACAGGAACGAATACTGAAAGCACAACTCGTTTGCTCATCAGTGACTCAAAATCAACAAATAACACGACCAGAAGCAGCCATATCAACAACATGTAACAAAACGGAGCAATAACTGAGGTATGCTGCACAAAACCTCTACTGCGCTGGCATGAAACATCAACAAGTACTTACACACAATTTTAAGAGTGTGCCATTAGAAGATTGATGCAAACGTAAACCACCTCCAAATTCTAGTAATACTTAACATTTTAGCAAGGTTCGAAAGATTTTATTGCTAGCACTTGTGAGACCATGATATTGCAACCCTTTGCAAATTGAAGTTTGATAACATCAATCAAAATTAAATCAAGCAATAAGTTTTAGCCCTGTGATCTGCTCTATGCCACCTACAGTAAAAATTTTTGGAGCTTGAGTCTAATTATCATCAGTCTCTATCAAAAATCAGCACTCCGTCCTTGTTGTAATAAGGCTGTTAATTTCTATGTTGTCGGATGTGTAATTTTAGTTCCTTTAAACTTGAAACAATCTAGTTGTTCCCTCATGTTGTAGAATTTTGAACTACTGCCGATCCGACTTATGACTCACTCCGAAGGGCGAAAGTGCAACTCTCGTTGACGTATCGGAGTTCGCGCAACTCCACCCAACTCCATTTCACTACACAATGTACCGAAGTATAATTCCCTATCTCTTGCCATCCCTCTTATTAATAAAACTGAATCTTTGCTATTTTTATTGTAGTATTACCCCGAAATTTCGCCATCATATTGGTGTGCACAAGTGCGAACACTCCTCCTAGCACGTCAATGCATACTTCGTTGACTCCTTAATCCCAATTTAATGATCATTAAAATGAAGTAGCTTTAAATCTATTTGATATCAACGATATTTGTCTTACTCATTAATCATCATTAAATTCTAAAGAAGTGGTGGGTAACAAGCGAAGTTTAATTTGCCCGTTGTTTGGCTCTAGTCCAATTTCTTCCACCTTTTGCTTCTCTAACCGCATAAATTGTAATTTTAAGTTGCCCTCTGTTGTGCAAGAACCACACCTTGCGTAACAACTAAGGCAGCACATCCATATTTTGTGATTTGACAGAATGAAAACAGACAAACAATTGGCGTTTGATCCACCCTATTTGATGTTGAAGAAACTCTTGAGAATGTTTTCTCTGCTCTGTCAAATTGACATCTGATTATCTTTGTCCTCCAACAACTCTGGCAGGCGAAGGCAAACATCAAGTCTGGTGTCTATTACCAAGCTTTAAGCCCTGTTATTTGCGTGTGACTTTCCTTTTTACCAGTGGTTTTTTTTTTTTGATCTGGTGCATTTTAGCTTGCCATTGAGAAATCCACTTTCCACCTGTCATCTGGCTTTTTGTAGAGGTTTTATGATTACATTAAACTAATCTAACCTTCTTGAGTGTATCTGTGGCACACTGAGTCACTCATGAAAGCGTAATTAGGGCACAGAAGAAGGTTATTTACTGTTATCATGTGCGTTTAATTAAGCCGACACTTCAAACACCAGAGTTGTGTGTATCGCCTTGTTACCTCCTTGCGTCTAATTCGCACCATCGGCTTTCCCTATATTGGGAAAGCGAAGTGGATCGCTTCCTTCATCCTGGTTTCGTGTATGATTGGAGGTACTGCAATGGCATTCCACTGTGGAAGAGGATTCGTTTGCCAGGCACCAGTTTTGCTTTTGTTTAAATAAGCTCCTTCCCGAAATTCTCTGCTTTTCGTAGCCTTGGCGGGAATGCCCACATTAATAAGTTGGTCAGTAGGAATAGAGGATCCGCACTTTTGGAGATTTCCATTCCACTACATCGTCTTTCTAGTTGAAATATGAATCTTACTTCTCTGCAATGTTTTTCCGTGCTTTTGAGTGGAGGTAATAAGACTGAAAATTTTAGTGATAGAAGGAGGCGGCCCAGATGGGGCTCGAAGAGTTGGCCACAAACCATTGCCTACGTGGCTTAAAGAGGTTGAGAACAGCTAATACGGATGAAGTAAGCAAATACAATACGCTTTGGATTCGGTATCCATGTCTGCTGGATGTCACTGTCTCAAGACTTAGCTGATGTCGACACGAAATCATGGCACCTTGTGTCCTCAAGCGCCTGGTCTCAACCATTGTCTCAAATGTGTCTTGTAGTTACTGATTTGTTGAAAAAAACTTGTCTCTCTTGTAATAGAGCGAGACACTTTGTGCCGACTGTGCCTTCAGGATCCACTATCATTCCCGTCGATTGCTCAAAGGAGTGTCCGTTGGGACAGCGGAATGCTAACTCTGCTAGCAGTAACTTATTCCGTTCAAGCATCTCCCTACAACTAAACAGACGTACATCCTCTATCCGCTTCTGTGCGTTGCGCTGTGCTGTCCCGCCCTGTAGACACGAAATTATCAGTGTCATGAGGCCTCGTTGGAAGGACACATCGTTTTTTCTTCATCATACACGAAAACGGGATGTAATGCAACCTCTTGGCTAAATTTCTTTAGCGTAGTGTTTCCCGTAGGCTGCAGTGAGCCGACTTATCTTCTCATTCGTCATTGGTGAGGAAAATTGTATGGTGACACTTGGACCTAGTTCAATGAAAGCAGTCTTTACTTGCATTTCATCATTGCTGGACCGACAAGTGCACCGATTTTGGCTTCATTTCCACCTGCTACTCTTAAAATCAGTAGGAAAAAAGGGAACCAAGTCCTTCGATTCAGGGAGCATACAAAAGAACTGGGAGAATAGGCGCAGCGATGGGAATCCGGATTGACAGCAAGGGGTGAACAAACGCAGCGGTAGGATTGGCAATGGAAAGAGCTAGACAATTCGTAGGCAGATCACTTCATTCTGAACTATAAATGGCACCTCAAGACCTCACACAACAACAGCTGGGCTTGAACTCAAGTTTTCTTATGTGGTGTCGCATGCAGCGTTCTGCTGACGGAGCCTCAATGGGTTGTTCAGCTCATGGTACGGACACGGAATTGCCAACTCTTCGGTGGTAGCAGGACATTTAGTGGTGTCAAGCATCCAAAGTCAATGGGCTGTGCGTTGGACATTTCAACGGGCTCTCTTTTGCGTATCCAAGGGGTAAGGCGGTAGGTTCTAAGACTCTGTACGCCACCCAACTCCTTGTGTAGTCACATCATAATCGAATCTCTTCAATGAAGCTGTAAAATGCACGCAGTAGGCTGGAATTCCCTCACCTATGTTGGTAAGGTTGTCCCAGTAAATGATGTCCCACCGTTGATTCCTTGTAGGTGGACGCCTACATCGAAGTAGACCTATCCGTGCAGACTACTGTTCTGTGGAAAGGAATTTGTGGAGTTCACATTTTGAAAGAAGCTTGAAACACTCTCCCAAGTACTACCAATTAGTAAGTGGGAAATTTTGAGTCAATTCGCGAGTCAAGCGATTGTTGCATTGATACAATTAACCTTTCGTCCTTCCCCTCCTTCTACTCATTTGTCGCCTCCACAACCTTCAAAGTTTTACTTTGAAATTCAACAAGAACTCTCTCACGTGTGAAGGTTATGCATTCAATTCCCATTGTCTAGGAAATTAAATGTAAACCCGAAAACCTGGCTCATACCCTTCTACGGATTTACAAGACATGCAAGCAAGGTAAAAAGGACTGGAGTGCAAACTTTTATCGAGTGATTCATCTGTGGAGATGATTGATGATTTGACATTGCAATTGCTGTCATCGTTTTTTAGCCTCAACTAGTCATGAGAGCCTGTAGCAGCTTTAATGCCAGCAATTTCACGACCTCGTAGTACCACTCCTTCTTCCACATCATTGTTATGCAGATTGTTGCGAATCTTCTGACTTTCTCGACTTGGAGCACCTCTCGCAGGATTAATCGAGCAGCCTTCTTTTATAAAGGTTAAGTTAACAGCTTCAGATGATTTTGTAGGACTTGGGACTCCTCCTGCCCCAAATTTAGCCTTGTCGGAAGGGTTTATTTGTTACTCCACCTTATCTTGAACGAGAAGAAAAACTGGCTGACTAAATAATTAACATATGATACACCAATGGGGACGATGCCCTGACAAGATCGCAATAATCACATCTCCTGTCACAAAATTTCAACGCTGCTCTACAACCATCATGAAAGAATGAACGCCGTGAGTGCACTTCGCCCTGCAGAATTCGACCCGTGTGCTCACCGCGGTGCATAATCCTTGAGATAGTTTTGACCGCCATTTTGACAGCATAACGTCTCGTCTGACCCATGCCAACGGTCCTTCAAGGGGGACTTTATCACTTGGGGCGTAGCAGCGGCTGATAAACCTATTCGAAAAGTAAAGCAAAAGTCAATGCTCGATCGCCAATTCCAAGAGCTGAATGGCATTTTAAGATTCTCGGATAATCCATATGAAAAATGCTTCTCGACAAGACGGAACTGAATACGCCAGTTAAAATTTTCATATGCGGTAGGAAGCTAAGAGTAATCTAAGTGGATGGTAAGGCAACACTGAGTAAGAGAAATTCCTTGCGATGCAGTCGAAACAGGAGTCGTAATTCCGGATCCATTGAAAGGGCCTAGCTACTTCACCTTCACTGAGCCTAGCTGGCTGCCGTGCTAAGGCATTTGAAACTATTAGCATCAGTTATGGAAAACGCCTAGTAACAACACCAGAGGTGCCTTTGACCACATTCGAAACACTAAACACATCTCAAGTTCGACTATCAATCGGATGCAAACATACCATCCGCAGGTGTCCATGAGTCAAACGCAAATCCTTCATCCAATCAAACATGAACATTTCTCAAGGTCACTAGTTGATTCAAGCCAATCAGAATCATGGAGGGCCTTTTTTCATTGGCACTTCATACTTGCATTTTTTTTCCGATTTTTTAGATAAATTTCCTTACAACTAAGGATTAGCTTGTTAGCAAAATGTTTGTTATCACAGAGGGATTGTTTGTAGGATTTATGCGTTTGACGATAGGAAGGGAGGAAATGACCAGATCCAACCATACAAAAGTTTAATTAGCAAATTTGTTTGGAGGAGTGTTTGTTGAAAACAGAAGGAAGTGAGCACAAGTGAGAGAGGAATGGGAGAATAAGGCTAGGTGAGGGATATCAAGGAGCAAAGAGGAGTGGGAAGACCAGGGGAAGAAATGGAGGACACATATTAGTACTCCAAATCGAATTACAAAAGTAATAAAGAGTCCTGAGGAGGTATGCCACTGGTAAGAGTGTAGAGAATTTGCCATAAAAACAAGAAATTATATCATGATGAGGAGATCTAATTTAAAGTTATTATTGGAGGGTGGATCGACTAGAAGAGTATATTTCTTTTTACTACTAAAACACAATAAATATTTTCCAGATTCCTTTAACTGCGTAAAAACTCGAGCATCCTCTAATTCCATTAAAATAACTTCATTTCATATGATACGATTATCGCGAATCACACCCGCCTCTATGCATGTAGGAGGGTTTGGAGCCCTTCTTCCCCTTCCTTTTAGACTCCTTTTTTGCGAAAAATATGCTTTTCTTAAGGAGGGAGTTAGGGATGAGGATGATAAAGGAGCAGAAAGTTAAGGAACAAAATTTAATTCCACTTTTCTTGTTTTTATCTTGCAGGTCGATGAAACCTACCCGAGCTAATTAATTTTTGCTAAGTGCTGTTACATTTCCTGTCTGTTTATGTGATTACAAAACTGGAGTAGCAATTTAAGCATAATTGTCGTCACTTTCGAACTCATCCCCATCCTCTAGTGACTCTGTTTTCGAAGTTGGAATGGAGTGTCTACAACAACAATTGCATCATAACTTCGCAAATCCCGATGGTCTGCCAAGCACCTCGAACTGCCACCTGGATTTATTTATTCATTTAGGCGATAAAAATATTTTTCCCACTCATAAAATGCTAGACAAAATAAAAGTGGCTTCAGGTTCACTTAAGTCTCCGACGTACTGAGTCGCGCTCACTAGGGCAGTGATCTTGGCGACTGCTTGTCTGGCCTGTCACCTCCTTCTAACTCTTCAGTTTTCACAATTTAGTCAGTAGTCCACAGTTCCAAACAGCGACACCAGCTGCAACAATGTTTACATCATTCGAGAGAGTTGGAAGAAACACATATCAAAACGCAAAGCCCCTCTCTTGAAATCAATGTTTACACGAACTGTTCAAATGACAATCGAATACGTAACCACTCATCTGATTGGTTGACGTCTTGCCGCGCTCTCATTGGTCGGAGGTGTGCTGCCTGAGCCGGATGCGTCATATATAAAGTGGAAGGCGGGCGTGTATCCGCATGGATAGATGTGTGTGATTAGCTAAAAAAAGTGTCAGAAATTGTTGATTTAATGGACACCGCTAATAGTGAGAGTATATGCTACGACTCTAGTGCCCTCTCTATGGACCTATTTCGCCGTCTGACAAGCTACATTCAAAGTCAACAACATCAACAGCAACAACAGCAGCAAGAACAGCTCAACCCTTCCATTCCGATGGATCAGTTAGCCTCGACAGCATTAGCACTAAAGAAGAGGATTGATGACTTTGCATCTTCGGTAGCAAGCGCAACAACAGCGTCAACCTCCACCAACACAAATACCTCAACAGCGACAGAGAGTGGCGCAAATACACCCGTGGACGAAAATGATTTTCCAACCGACACGCTACACAAACCGCCTTACTCTTACATCGCGCTCATCGCGATGGCAATCAAGAGTACGCCAGAGAAGAAGATCACTCTGAATGGTGAGTTCGTATGCAGCAACACGTCTCTAAATTCCCCATTTAACCCGTCACCTTAAAGGCCACTTACAGCACACTGCAGCAATTCTGGAGCCATAAGTAGACTCAACAAAGCACTTGATGCACATCCAACTTGAGAGAGATTGACTTTTTCCAACCAATCAGGTTAAAGCACATTAAAGCTGATGGAGTTGTTGTTGCACTTGTCAGCACACCTCAAGGGAGGCAAACGCACCTCACTTTTCTCATGGCTCAATCCATCAGAGACTTCACTACAAAGGTGAAATGTAAATAGACTCAAATGTAGCCCGAAGCAGGTTCGGTGAGTGACTGCGTGCTTGCACGCGTGTGTGCAAATGCGTGCATGTGTGTGTGTGCGTGTGTGTGACACCAGAAGAGAGGATTGTGAAGCACCCATTATCACCCCTACGAGGAGAAGAAGAAGGTGAAGTAGAAAGGAAGGTGATGAAGGAGGAAAAATACGTCGAAGCATCGCCAAAATCCCACACAAACGAATTAAGGGCGCACTTCTAGGCATGCACGTACGCACACAAGCGCACACGCACACACGGCGAGATAGGGGTACAGAGGAATTCGAATACCTGCTCCACTTTGAAGACTAGGTCATTCTGCATATTTTGCCTTCAAATTAGCTATTGCTACAGCCTCTCGATTCTGGCAATAATCCTCCACTCTCTCTCGCTCGCTCTTTTGCTTCCTGCTCGCTAATGGCTGTGAATTTTCCTCGCTGAGGTTCGTGTGTTTCTCCCTCCCAGCCTGCCTGCGCGAGTGAGTGAGTGAATGCTTGTGTGCAGTGTAGCCATAATTGACAGACCCCTTCTCTCTCTCCGCCTGTGTGTGTGTGTGTGTGTGTGTGCTATTCAGTTCAGCTGCGTAAACAGTCTACTCAAGTAACAATTCCATTATTGCCTGTCAGAGCCGGCTTTGATAGCGGAGTCGTCGTCGCCGCGTCAAGTCCCGTCGAGCAGTCATTCTGGCTTGCTCCCTCGCTAATGGCATCGACAGAAGATACAGTTGGCCCACGAAGACGCTGTGTGTGTGTGTGTATGTGTGTGTTTGTTTAACTTGAGCGTGTTTGTGCTTGTGTGTATGCGTGTGTGTTTACCTTACCCTCTCGCTCCGTGAATGTTTGGAGGAGGATTTGACTGGTATACGTACAAACACACACACGCACGCACACGCAAACTACCGTTTGAAGCCTGTCAGATTTGTGAAAATATAAATACACAAACACGTGTGTTCTGATTCGCCTTCGGAGATGGGTTTGTTTACACAACCCTTGAGAGAAAATTAACCAGCCCGCCATCCAGCCCTCCAGCCGGGCTCGCCAGACCCGCGAGCAAGATGTTAATCTCTGACATGTCACCTACCCTCGTCTCCCACCCTCCTCCCCCTGCTACCGTAGCCATCCCCTCACCCGCAAATGAGTCACACATGCGCATACGCACCAATTGGACGGAATGGCTTGTTTACAAAACGATAAATCTTCCCCTCTACACACGCCTACACCAACTGTTAAAATGGCTGGTGTACTTTCTGTGATTAAATGAACTGAAAATTCCGCCATAAACAAGACTTCTCCTCTTTAGGTCGGCAGATTGTAAACTAGGACGAGTTAATCAATGATTGAACCTTTTTCAGGGATCTACAACTTTATCATGGAGCACTTTCCCTACTATCGGTACCACCGCCAAGGCTGGCAAAACTCAATTCGCCATAATCTCAGCCTGAATGACTGCTTTGTGAAGTTGGGACGAGATAAATCGCACCCTGGGAAGGGTAACTATTGGACGGTCACCACAGGAGCTGACGACATGTTTGAGCATGGAAATTATCGTCGACGAAAGCGACGCTCTCGTCTGCCAGCACAGAAGCTAGAGGAGTCAAAAAAACGATGTCATCCAGGTGGACGTCAGATTGCTGATTCTATTACTCCTGCCACCTTGGCGACACCTACCCCATATCCCGTTTTCATTCCCATCTCTATCCCCATCCCTCCCCCTTTGGGTTTTCAACCTCCAAGTCTTCAACAGACGTCTCCACTACTTCAACAACAGCCTTCACAACTTCCTCTTTCCACAGAGTCGGTATCGACGTCACGAACACCGATTTCGACGTCCAGCCAGTCGTCTGATCGGACGGGAAGCAATTTTTCAATAGCCTCGCTAATTGGCTTAACGTAGGCACTAATATTACTACTACTGTCAGTAGTAGTGTGCGTCCTTTCGTGTCCTCTTCTCGCTCCCTTTTGGTTTTGTATACCGAAATGCTTTCAGGTCTATAGCCACACATGCATACACACACACACACACACACCACTTTTTGCTATTTTAATCTCCTTTTTGAACATTCTGTGTGTCTCAGCGGTCATTCAGGGGTGGGGAGGGAGGGAGGGAGGAGGAGAGGCGGAAATTTGTTTAAATCGTAGGTAAGACTCAGGACAGTGGAATATGACATTGAGGCGCTAAAGGGCATTGCTTCACTGGGACACAGCAAAGATAAAAGAGCTTGTCGAAAGAAGGTATATGGGTCTATAGGTAAGGAAGAACATCGCTTGACTGCCTTTCTCAGTTCTGCCACCTGCATGAGAAGGGGAAGAGGAAAATGTGACGTGCTTTGTTTGCTGTATTGGGGCTGTCAAGCCGAATTGAAAGGGACCGAGAAAAGAGTGGCATCATAACCAGTGGAAGTGTGATGCAGCAGCAGATGAAGGCGCTGTTGAAATCGTAGTGGAGGAGACAAGAAATAAGGTAGGGAGTCAAGCTGATTGACAACCAGATCTTTTACGCGTGGTTGCGGAAGAGTAGTAGGACTTAAAATGAAGATGCAGAGTGGGAGGATAATTTACTTTTGCCAAAAGCACATGCACCACTGACACTCATAGTCGAATTGCCATAATAATTAAGAAACTAAACTTCTTCTTTGCGTCCCTTCTTTCCTCCGAATCGGGAAAAATCAAGCCACAACACTGCATCACACTGCAGAATGCAAAAGTACACACACTCTGCCTTCTGAGTGTCGACTCAACAACCAACTGCTCTCTTTCGCCACACCACATCAAAACACAAGACATCTCAGTAAAGCACAGCACAGCACAGCACACAGCAAAGGAGAGGAGAGCAAACTGTGCAGCTAAAATACGACCTCAAAAGCACCTCTCATCCATCCTGCAATGACTGCTCTGTTGATTGGGGACATGAGGTGGGGAGTGTGCACGCCACAATTCCTCCAAACAGACCTACACGCTTCCAGACAACACACCTTCGTTCACCACCACCACCACCACCATCACCTCCTCCTGCTCCTGCTCCTGCTCCTCCTTCCCCACCCTCTCGCTACCACACAACCTCAAGTTAGACAAACAACCACCTCCTGTCAAACACCACATGCTTCTCCAACCCACCTGCCTCAAAACAACGCACACACACACACACACACGCATTGTAGTGAGTTTTTGTGCTTTGCGGTAATTGTATTAACCCGTGAGCAGAGGGAGAAGATGAGGTGGTGGTGGTGGTGATTAGGAGATGAGTTGCAGTAGTGTCGTGTTGTCAATCCTCCTCCACTTCCACGTCATGTGTCAACACCCTACTCCAATGGTTTGGCGTACGCTCCACCGTCACGACTTCATCGTGCTCCATTCCTCCCTTCCCACACTCTCCACCATCTCTCCCTCTTCCTCTCCCTCTCACTCTTCCGCCGTCCCCCATCCCCGTCCCCGTGCCCCCCCACCCACCTTCTCCTCCTCTCTCCCAATTGTGCACTCACCTTCCATGGGAAGGGCAATAAGGGTGCACTTGCATTGGTAATTGATTGTCCATGTCAGGTGGTTGTCACTCCGCGCCAATGGGCATGACTAAGAGAGTGGTGTGACTGCTCCAAACCTGCCTCCCCATGCCCCATACATCAACTCCACCGTCAACACCGTCCATTCTGCTGATACTAGAGGTGCATGAGGAACATCTTGCCCTTGTTTTGTTAGCGCTAATCATAGTGAGCTTTTTGTGGTGGTGGTGGTGGTGGTGGTGGTGGTGTTGGTGGTGGTGGTGGTGGGCGAACCACTTCTGTGTGAATACCTTTAATTCAAATTTTACTCCCTCAACCTTCGGCACGGACACCGAAACTGTCGTCTTCCGGCATTTAGTGGGCTCGTACCATTTTGCTGTTTTTACTGTCCCTTTCCGTGATGTTGAAATCCTTCATGTCTGTTGATGTGAAATCTGAACTCAGTCGGATGAAGTAATAATTTGGCAGATGAAGGGGCGATGGGTGTGCGTACTCTTTATCAGCCCCCACAAATGTTGCGAGCGGCCCCTCAAGAGCCTTCATAACAGCCGTGTATCGTTGTGCTCCTCACCTTCACAAAACAACGTTTTGATACATTTTATTACATCTCTAGCCTTATCAGCAGAGCAACCAGATTGGGTGATAGTGCTTTTGTGTGGATCATACATGCACAGGCACACACGAAGGTCGAGGACTATATAGCGCGACCTTAAACTGTGATGCGTGAGGCATTGTAGAACATCAACTTCCATTACTGCCAGTCAAGGAAGCAAAATGGTGAGCCACTTTAGGAGGCGAAGAGAGCATGGCATGGAAATTACTAAGGATGCTGCAGGCAGTGGTAGAGCATCTAGAAGATTGTAATGGCAGCGGCATCTGTTTGTTCGCCGGATGTCACGCACTTGTATCTACTCCTCTTCCACTTCCTGCATCCTCAATTTCAAATTCAATTGGGCTTTACAATGTTCCAGTGCGAACTGCTTTCGAGCTTCTACAATTATATAATTTTTAAAAAAAGTTAGGATGTCATCAAAATCGGAAGGCACGGCGAGTGATCGTCCTGCTCGCAGATGGCATCACCTCTACCACCGCTCGTACCAACATCACACCATCTTTTCACAGGCTGAACTGGTACAAACAAAGGAAGTGAAGACAATAAAATTGCGAATTGGCAGGTCATTTAGTCAATCACTCAAGTTGTTCAATGTAAACGCCTTGGAGGCTGCAACCATAAGTCTACGCTTAGATCATGGCATTCCAGTCCGTTTTGCCTCTTCAACTGATCCACTCAGCAAGGCTTAAAGGTAGTTTAAGGTGAAGTGCAAACGCTTCTCCCTACCATAGATTAGCCAGCATAACTTCACTTTTAACTTTCACTACGGCTACCGACACCTCGTCTTTCGTGGACATTTGAGGCCACCCACTTGCCATTAGGCGCCACGTCAAGTGTGTCAATTTACTGAGGCATCAGCTTCAGCCACAACATTGCTGGATGTAGGCAGTAATGCCCTCCTCCACTTCTTTTCTCTCAGGTCAACGTCAGGTCGTCGTAACTCGGCTCTCCGCCTTAATGACCCCAAATGAGAAGGGAGAGAGTGCTCCTCTTCTCCCACACCTCGGCGTGTTAAAACTACTTTTGCCCTGCTTTGCTCGCATTGGTTGCATTCAAGCCAGTTCTTCATGGACATTGCTGATTGGAGGCCTCTGTGAACTGTACAACCTGTGAGTGCAAGAGCTGACCTCACCAAATGCGCCACAACAACGGCAAAATGAATGCCAAGAGGTCATATGGGGAAGAAAACACTGTAAAATAGAACACAGCGCTAAAAGTAAGCAAAATATTGTCTAACAATGCATCCTGCCACTTTATAAGTTCCTGCAAACGCACTCGAAATATTTATTTGGTGGTGAAAACTGCATCCTCCGTTTGTGCTCAAGGCGACTACTCCACTGCTATAAGTGGCCATTCTTATCACCTTTTATGCAGTACAAATGCGATTGGCTCATGTCTGCCTCTCCGTTTGAGGCAAAATATTCGCATTGGTTGATCGTCTTCCCACTTGCGCAATGTTCGCATTCGCCGCCTTCATCAAACGGCAAGTTAATGCAGACCTTTGCAGGGGTTAAACTCGTTTACCTCTGCTACACTGACGACCTCTTACGCCTTCCGTCAACTTCTAATGTCTCTCTTTTGGTGATAATATAAAGGTGGGCGGCTGCTGGATGTGGGAGAAACATCAGCACTAATGATTGCATAAAATCAGGCTATCACAGTCACTCAAATTTTGCTTCAAGCAGGTCTAACTGTGCCTCTTGGCAAACATTAAAGCTCAACAAAAGTCGCTGTTTAGATGTGACGCCCAACAATGTACTCATGGTAGAGTAAAAGGTATTCGTTGATGCACTTTTATCTGCGGCGAGCACTTGAGCTCAAGAACTTATTACTTTCGATATTTCGTTGATCTTTCATTCGATAAGTTTTATTTAACCAAGGTCAGCACAGATGAGCTGCCACCTCAAAGATGCCAGTGGGCTGGCGGCCTCAAGGTATCCACCACCTTACCACTCGCCGTTGGCTCAGTTGATCAACAACTGTACTAAGGTGATCACTATAATCAGGGAACATCAAAAGGGGTGAGGAGGGCTTCGGTTCTTTGACACGACCGAAGTGGACGTTTGAGTACTTACGATGAACGAGGAGAACACCATTTCAATCCACCAGCTGCGCAAAAGGGACAGTGGTAGAGGCAGCAGAAGAGTGGAATGAAGGAGGATGGTATATTATCACTTATTCGTATTTTAGTGTGTAATTGACCATGTTTGATACTACTTTGACAGTAATGAGTAGTACGCACTCAGGATGACCGATTCACCTCTACCACTGAAGTAGGTGGATAAGGGCGGGAAAAGTAGGCGAATAAAGTAATCTAAAATTTGCTGAAGGATCGACAGTTGTACAAAGTGCTGTGTAGTTAAAGTGGGTAGGACAAGGCAGCCTGGAGGGAACTGAGGGTCATCCACTTCCTTTTTCTCCATGCAAGTGATGCGTGTAGGAGTCAACCTGTGATAAATTGAGTGATTGAATAAGATGATGCAATTCATTGTGAAAATACGCACAAATTGATGAAGACTGTCAATCCAAAATAGAAGTATAAATGGGGCATATAAAGAAGGTGAGATGTGAGGCGATGTGGAAAGTGGTGCGACATAAGGCGGAAGATGTTGGCATGATCTGGGCAAAATTCGCATAAGTTGACATGTCTATCAAATCAAGTAGTCAGTGTAAGTTTAGTAATTTAAACACACTAAAAAATTGAGGTAAATTGCAAGAACGAGCCATGACAAAAGTTCACTTCCTCCAGCCTACCATCATATTTGAAGTTGGAGCCTAGGCTCG